TTGGCTAAAGAGGTCGATAGTATTGATTGGTATCGGATGTCAAAAGCAAAACATACGGCAGATGTGGGAACTGTTGACTATATGGCACCGGAAGCCGAGACGAAAGATTACAATCATTTGACAGATATCTACAGTCTATCCCTAATCGGGGCTCAATTATTTGGTTTCGATACATACGATATAATTGAGGGAAAGTATGTTTGTATTAGAGAATTATTTTTAATAAATTAATTATTATAAATAATTTCAACTTTTATAGAATTGGTATAATCTCAAAATATGATAATAATCTAGATGAATTTAATATTAAAATGAATGCATTATTGGTGTCAATGGCTGTCAATAAGTATCGCAAAAACGGTTCAACAGATTGGAGGCAAAGACCCGAATGTTCGCACATTTTATCACAATTGCAGACATTTATGACAAATAAACCCATTATTGGGGAAAATGAGTTGAAATTAATTATAACTAATATTAATGACAATACAATTTGGAAACTATTTATGAGAAGTAAACCATTTTGTTTAATACGAAGCAATAAACAGAAAACAAGTTTAGGTTTGTATTCAAATAAAATTTTAAGAAAATAATTTTGTTTATTATTTATCATTTTGAAACACTTGAAATTAACAAGTCCATGTTTGAAAAGTTCTATATTTCAAATAATAACTCATACTCCTATAACACATTTAAACATAAATCTTCAGGACATGTGTATTACATATCCAAAATAAATATACCAGGTTAGAATATAAATTATAAAATTATCCGCCTGTAATAATTGTGAGTGTTATATAATTATGCCATATTATATACCTCTATATATAGCTACTATTAAAAAAATGAATAAACTACTGGTTTGTATAAACAAGATATTTTACACGAATTCGTATTTATCGGCTGAATATTATAACTTTTGGATTGAAAATAATAAAGTATTCATTGAAAGTGAATATAATTCACAATCAATACATGATTTAATTGAAAGAAAAACTAAAATATTCGAAACTCAGGCCTCCGTTGACATGATTTGCATTGATTTCTACATATCGTGTGAATTAATGCGAGAACTCTTGCAATGTCTTCAATATTATCAGCAAATGCGGGAAATATTAGACAAATGGAAAATAAACGATGATTATATTCTAATTGACACTAATATGAAGTATGATAGATGTATCAGGGTACTGACATACCGTTTTCCACAAAAAATGAGTGAATGGAGTAAATGTTATTATATTTATTACCGCGATAAAATTGTTGATACATTTACGCCAATTATGGAAAAGTAAGTATAATTTTATTAAATAAATATAATTTGTAACATAATATCATTTAGGCTCAACATACCGACTGACCAGGGTATACAAACTCATAGAATTCAATATTATTTAAATGATAAGTACTATACAAATAAAACCATCCCATCGGTCGAGGATATGGTCAATGAATTCAACGACATTTTCGCGCATAATATCCGTATAACCGATGAAATGATTTCCACATTTCAAACACACATTCAATCCATGGATTCACAAGAATTTGATTTCAATTTCTTCTATANATTTCAAACACACATTCAATCCATGGATTCACAAGAATTTGATTTCAATTTCTTCTATAAATACTTATTAATGAAAACCAATTCAACAAACAATACAAACAATTCATCTAAAGATTTGAATCCAACGGCTCCGACAGTCAAACCAAATATACCTGAAATACTTGTGAATGAAAGTTCGACCCAATATACAGACCAAACACAACGGGATAAAGATTTAACTCAAACAGCGCCTACACCTATCGCTCACATACTTGAGCTAACCGATGTAACCGATACCTTTTTTAGACCCTGTGATGAGTCTTTACCCCAAAACACGGAAACATCGGGTGCTGTCGATATGGACCCAAATGTTCAACAATGGGCTGCAGTTCCAGACCATAGAAAGCGTGCACTCGAGAGTGGATACCAGTTTCAAAATGGCCAGCCTACTAAAACACAGAGACTATTTGACCTTTGTAAATGATTGGATTGGATACAGAAATGATAACATTCCATCTAACATATTTTAAAATTACCTAATCAAAATATAATTTAGTATCAAGGTAAAATAAAATTTTAATTTCTATAAAATTTTTCGTTTGAATACCACACTTGCGCTATTGAAATGAGTTCAACCATTTTGTAACCATGCAAAGTGTACTTAACATGCAAGTAATTGTAAAATGAGCAACATATATTAGATATAATATTAATATTATACTATTTATAATAATTATTAATATAATACACTGTATTAAGTAGAAAGAATTATATGGAGTTAATAATAGAAATATTTATTTAATGGGGTTTATAATAATTTTTTTTAATAAAAATTATATAAGGTTTTTGATTATTATGTTAAAGTATTTAATGAATTTATAAAATATTTTCGTAATTTAAAAAGTATTTTAAGTTTGATTTTTTACATAGACAATTAATCATAATTGTATGTAATTAGTATGACTAGATGTCCATTTTTGCACTGGATTGTCCAGTTTTTGCACATAGTGTCCAGTTTTGTAATTGATCTATTACAATGTAATGGATAGTATTGTCCAGTTTTAAATATAATACACTGTATTAAGTAGAAAGAATTATATGGAGTTAATAATAGAAATATTTATTTAATGGGGTTTATAATAAGTTTTTTTAATAAAAATTATATAAGGTTTTTGATTATTATGTTAAAGTTTTTAATGAATTTATAAAATATTTTCGTAATTTAAAAAGTATTTTAAGTTTGATTTTTTACATAGACAATTAATCATAATTGTATGTAATTAGTATGACCAGATGTCCATTTTTGCATTGGATTGTCCAGTTTTTGCATATAGTGTCCAGTTTTGTAATTGATCTATTACAATGTAATGGATAGTATTGTCCAGTTTTAAAACTTGGATTAATTCTAACATTGTCTCATTTCATCAAATTGTCCAGTTTTAAACAAAATATTGAAAAAATATCTGGTCACCCTATATGTAATCTTAAACATTAAATAGGAAAATTACTGTTCTTGATAAAATTAGGAAAAATTAACCATTTATAGGACCCAGGTAAGCCTCTAGTATTTGTCGAATGGAGTTAAATAATGCAAATCTTAAAGTAAAAATCCAGGAAATGATTGCTAATTATATGTATATTAAATTCAGTACTTTTCAATGTACCGTACAATTTTGATATACTAATTGTTATGGAAAATTTTTAATAGAGAAATTTCTGTACTTGATGTCATTTCAATCATTTCCTAGATATTTACTTAAAAATTTGCGTTTGTCTACTAAAAATTTACTAGAGGGCAACCTGGGTCTCATAAATAGTTAAACTTTGCCATTTCATCAAGAACCGTAGTTTTCCACCTTGAAATTTAACATTAAATAAATTATTATTTAATATATAGAAATAGAGGGTGTATGAATTTTTAATAGTTGTACACGTAATATGATTTATAAATATATTTAATTTATGTGAATTAGGTATCTAATATTAGTTATAATGCTACGTAAAATTATTAGCAAATACTATGTTATAAACCGTATATTTTAACCACGGATATTTTTAAAGGTATATATAGAAAATAAATTTTTATGAGCTTGGTTATAAGGAAGACACTGAGAGTATTGCTAGAAAATCTATTTTATTTTGCATCAATCTACTTTATTTTTATTGAAATTAATTTCCAATCTTAATTAAAAATAAAATAATAACATTTAGACATTGCAGAGATAAGCCTGATAGTTTTTGAGTTATAGCACATTTTACAAAAACTACCTGTGTTATGATACCGGTGCTCACATAAAATTATAACTTAGGCAGGCTATATAGGCTTAAAACCATGTTTCTCATATATATATATATTTTATTTAAATTATCTGGTTCAAAAATAAATGAACTTTTACTGATTATATTCTACCTATCAAAACTTTTGCATAACCCTAATATATTAAGGAGAATACAGAAAATTCTTAGAGAATAGGATTTTTGTGTTTGTTTTGTGAAATAATTTTGCTTTTATATGCTTTTTAAGAAACATTTTGTTTTCTTAATTATATGTTATTAAAATGTTTTGGAGATAAGATTTTTAATTTTATTATATTTATAAATCATATTCAAATACAAATATTTTGGTATATATTATATGAATATATTGGGTAAATAATAGAAATGTTATTTATTTAATGGGGTTTATGGTGTATAATAAAAAGTTTTACATACAAATTATATTATATATATAAGGTTTTTGACTTTGATTTTAAAATATTTAATGAATTTATAAGCTTTTTTATTTTTTGTTGATTTAAAATGTATTTTAAATAAAGCTAATATAATAATATACTTATTGGTAAACAATATTAAACTGCTATTAAATTTTTAAAATATTTACATAATTTACTTATGTAAATACGTAATCTTAAATTGTAAATAGAAATATTACTGTACTTGATTGAATGAATAAAATAAGTGATTTATGGGAGCCAGGTTGTTTAGTAGTTTTCTAATGGAGTTAATTAACACAATTGTTTAGGTAAAAATCCAGGTAATGTTTGCTTATTACCTGGCCCACATATTTGTGCAATAGTTTTTTCCAAACTCTTCACACTCTGCATAAACCAACCCATGTTAGCCCTCTCTCATATATCTATTCTAATTTATACAAAACTGATAAGCGATACAATATGCAATATTTTAAAAATGAATTTTTTTATTAATAGTTGCTAAATAATGAATCAAATTAGCCGAATAGTTAAGTAAATTTAGTTAATTAATCACAAAATTAACTAAATTGTGAAATAAACAAATTTTGATCATAAATTAGTCACTTTTATACAGTTTTAAGTTAATTTAATTCGAATTTAGTTAATTTAACGCACAATTAAGATAATTTAGTTATCAAAATAGTTAATCTAACAAATAATTAAATTATTTTAATTCATAATTATCTAAATTTAGTTAAGACTTAAGTATTGAACTATTAATTAACTATTTCTGTAACTAAATTAACTTAATTGTGCGTTAATTTAACAAATTTAAATTAGATTAACTTATTGATGTATAAAATTGACTAAAATATTAACAAAATTTGTTTACTTATTTTACAATTTAGTTAATTTTGTGAACAATTAACTAAACTTAGTTAACTATTGGGCTAGTTTAATTCGTAATTTAGTAATTATTAACGAAATACAATTTTTATACATGTATTTGTCGCCCTGTATATTGTATCGCTTATCAGTTTTGTATAAATTAGAATAGATATATGCGAGAGGGCTAACATGAACCCATCTATGCAGAGTGTGGGGAGTTTGGAGAAAACTATTGCACAAATATGTGGGCCAGCTTATTAAATAAAGTACTTTGCTATGTACAATTGTGATGGTTAATTTTATTGAAATTTTATAATAGGAAAAATACAGTACTTGATATAATTAACAAGCATATCCTG